GCGAACGAATTATGGATGTTGATCCCCAACATGGGTGAATGCTGCATTAGAATTCTTACGTGTAACTACATCAACTTCCCGTTCGATTGCTCCACCGGTTGGCCCTAGTCTGACCTCTGTTTGGTTCTATTTCATATTTCCGCCGTAACAGTTGTCTGTGCACGGTTACGTAATATAGTGTGATCATTCAGCACAAGGTCGCCTTACGAGACCTGGCCTTTATAACCAGACAATCTACAATTGCAAACTGTATCGACGCAGCATAAATACAATATAGTAATATGCCAACAAAGGATCGGTCATAATAGCATGGTAGAATCCTATTTTGCCTACGGGTGGCAGTAGGTACATGTTTGTGACACTCGGTTCAATACAGGTTCCAATAGGTCTGTAATATCGTTGCATTTTTAAACTCGCTTGTAACAGGCTGGTTTATAACTAGATGGCCGTTAGTCGTTCAATGGCTAAGTTAATCCTTTGTGTGTTCATCTGGATACAGTAAGCGATTAGCTAAGTTTTGTCAGAAAGTTGTAACGCTATGCATCGGCTGATCCGTTCCCTCATTGCGACATATATCAAGGAACAACTATACCTGCTGATCCAATCGGTACATTACAGTCTATTTAGGAGAAGACAATTAACCTGCTCATCAAATCATTGCTTGTGGATCAACCCAATTTACCTGACAAACAGTTAAAAACACACGGATAGGTACACAACATACGATTTGCCCGCAATCCCATTTCGAATCTTAGCTGCAATATCATCCCGGCAGCAACTTCACGCCGCGTCACGATACGGGACGCCTGGTCAATACGAATGTCAACTAGTAAACATAGTAACTATGTAGAAACGAAATCACTCGCCGGAAATTTTTGTTGCCATCAAGGCTGAGTATCTGAAAGTGGTCGCGGATGAAAAGCAGACGGCGGGCGAACAAGCAGACGAATTACTCTTCTTCAATGATGGATATGCTCGCTCATTTGTTTTGACCGACCATTAAGCAGATTTCTGCGATTCGGATGGCAGCGACGCCAAGTTCCCGCTGCAGAGTGTCAACACCCGCAAATCGAATACGGAAACGCTTTTCGTTGACAGACTTCTCTGTGTATATATTTATGCTTCTGAATAAAGATATGTCAAACTGTAATTATACGACAGGTGGTAATAGAGCACGTGTATATGTATTTGACTTCATATTTCAAATGAAAAGCTGTATACTAATCTGTCTAGGTGTTCTATTTAAACGTTTCAGATAGTAACCCATATTAGCATAGTGCAGCTTATGAGTTCAAGCCCGTAGGAAACCCCGACCGGCACTATCCACTGTGTAATGTCAATTGGAATTTGCTCTAAAAACGATTTTCGAAAACCACCACTTTAGCGTCACATAGAGTACAGAATAACGCGGACCCCACGCAGTAGGTTCGTCGTATGGCCGTATAGAGGCTACATTTGGGTGGTGAACGATTTTTTGAACGATGAGCTGGCTTTGGACGCAAGTAGCAATGATCCAAGATCGCACTGCTAATAGATAGGTGATTACGCACATATTTGATATCCTGGTACTGCTACGATGCCTGGTATTTGATATACTGGTATACTACGGTGCATGGTTCGGTACAGAAGAAGCCGTAGGCCGTATAGTTTCTAACTTTAGCAGCCATATAACTTCTCCGCCACTATAACTTTTGTACTAGATTCTTACACAGCAGGTGGAAATGCTTGTCGGGATAAACGTGATTACCAACATCAAACGTAATGGTAAGAATGTCGATGGACAAAAATAGACATCTCATGCTAAATAAAGAATGAAAACATGTTCTGCTTTAGTATTTTAAGATAATCTGACAGTCATTCCCATCGATATAACACTAAGTAATGAACCCACATAGAAATACAAAACCCATCCTGTACTTGGACACTCATTCATTAGATATGTCTTATTTTGCCAAGAAGTGAGTTATGTTCTATTTGCTAAATCAGTGCTCGTCCGGTGCGTGTCTCGTAAAGGTCGAATTGAAATTAAAAACACTGGTTTTAATAAATCTACCCATATACTATAATTACGACATTTTAATACATAGATGTGCCCGGCTGTACAGAGACCGCCTGAACGAACAAACGCTAACACGTCCAATGGCAGTGCGTCCTGTGTGATATCCTAAATACACATATATGAATACTTGCAATTTCATGTTCTCCCTTCTACATGACGACTGATTTTGTTCCTAGCCCGTGGTTTTTGGCCGTGTCGACTGACTATGCTTTTCATATCTATATTGCCGCCGCTTTAAGTTTCCCTTTTTCGGACATTTCTCAAACCCAACTTTCCACAGCGCTAAGTTCCAATAACACAAGCAACGTTATCACAGAGATATTTTGTGAGGAGCCCTTAGCGAGATGTTTTTACCTGTAGACCCCCCTCCCCCCCCTCCCCCCTCCTCCCGTATTTGGGATCAAGCTGGTAAAAGGTGGAAAAACCGAAATGAACCATTCTAGAATGTCCCGACCAGACCGTCCGTTATTTCTTGTAAATACTATCTTTGGCCCCTCGGAGGCCGAAATCAGAGGAAGCGGAAAATAGCAAAGTTGCGATTGCAGTTGCTTCTGGCACTAACGCTGACGGCGGCAAAATAACGTGCTGGTCGCCCCGCTCGAACGGAGGACAAACTTTTTATTTCCCAGAGCTTGTCGCCGATAAGTCGGTACTACGGCATCACTCGGGGTCGATGTTTTGTATTCGTCACGTTTACCACTCGCCGGCTGTTGGAAACCCACCGAGCGCAGCCAGACGGGACAGCGTGTGGGTGCATGACCAGGCTGGATTGCAGCGACGCTGTATACAAACTTACGATCATGTACAGACACGTAGTGGGAAAGCGTGAGACAATGCTACTAATAGTAACGGTATAAGCTACATAGTAGTCGTAACATTAGCCGGAAAGTGTAGCGTCAAATACTCTTTCCCTACGGGCAGACTTCGGCAACTGTGTACTAGACCTGCGGAAAGGCAGCAGAGTTTGCGAGAAGCGCAAAAGTACAACTTAATACTAGTCGAATTGAGTTTCTGTTCAATGATAATAGTCACACAGAACCGTGGTTTCATGTGACGTGTACGCAGTCCATTTTGTCCATGTGCGCTTTAAGTTCAACACTTAAAACATGCTCTAGGTTTATCGACTGAGCTGAGTATTTGATATTAACGTAGCTTTATTTTTTGAATGCGCATCGTATGTAGCGCAGAACGCTTCCTCTAGCAGAGGCGTGAATGCTCCGACGATCGCAGCATGTTCGAGCGTTGTGACGCATAAGGACCATGAAGTGCATCTTTGCGAAAGCCCCTTTGCCTCGAGCAACGCTACAAACTCGGCTCAATTCAGGACGAGTCGAAGCAACCAGCCATTGCCGGCGTATGTGGCCCCTCCGCAAATTCAATTTTGCCCCCATAGCTCATACATCGGCTATGCACGTTCAGAGCTCGTGCGCAGCTAGCCCATGTTTGGATCCGGGTTTTTGCTGCTGGCACAAGGCTGGGTTCAATACGAGGACGTCGGGAGAGGGCATCTGTAGAGAGGCCTTCGTGGGGAGACCTGCTCTTTTTTTTGTTCCTGCTGCTACGGACGCGCTTAACCAGTACGTCTTCGGCCTTGCAACGAGGACAAAGGCAAGAGGGTGCTGGATGGTTTGCTGAGTAGGATCCAGACAGCTGCCTAGAGGGAACACGTCTGCGGCCTGACAAAAAGAACGCAACAGTCTCAGCTGCCGCGGCGATTTTCTATAGTTTTGGGTGGATAAACTGCCGGATAAAAGCTGTCGGCCACGATAACTGAATTCAGCTCACGGAAAAACAAGCAACATGAAATGTCGATTGCAGGATAGCGTCGACAGTGTCGGGCAGAAGAATGTCAACTGACTTTGAGGCCGCTGAAGGGTACGAAGTATTAAGTTATCAAAAAAGGTATTGATCATTTGTCTATCTAAGTTGCTTTAAAATCCCCTATTTTAGATCATGTGAATCCCATCGGAATATTATTTGAAAGCTAAAATTGTCAGGGTGTTTCTATTTAGACCTCTAGAGCGTCCTGAACGTGAGTAAAAATTTCTAAAGGTTCATTATAGTTGTCTCGATAAAGGCACAAATGCTGTTTGGGCTCTTATGAGCCCAGAGTGTATCAAATGGACCAGTTATGAAAAAAGTGAAATATGAAATTTTTCAGCAAAACCGACCAAAATCGTGCTAACCCAAAATAGTTTTAAACTATTATTTGTAGAAAGCTCACTAAGAAGAGATTCGACGTTCGGATGTCCCGCGAACTGATATGGAACAATTGTGTTTCCATCTGCGAGACTAAACAGAAACAATGTAATCGAACCATCTTAAAGGCGGCTAACTATAGGTGGTCAAATGTACAAAAAAAAAGACAATATGCTTAAATATGTGGCAAAACACCTATCCTGACGTTAATGTTTATCGCACCGTCCGTTGTTGTCATGTTAACCGTCCGTTATTGATTCGTGAATGCTTGATGAAATGCTTGATCCGAACTTCTGCTAAAAAATCGATTAACTAAAAAGCAGACGAAGTGTCATCTCGTACTATGACAATACCAGACGACATGCCTCTTCAGCTAGCCGACCAAATTGACGGAACTTCAATGGGAATTTTCGTATATCCCGAATCTTGCGCCATCAAACTACCGGTTATTCCGAATTTCGCATGACTCCCTTGATAATGGTAAAAATAGAGAAATCATTTGTGACAAATCTAGTCCAGAAACTTCTACAGTGATGAGATTAGAGCATCAAAGTTGCCAACCAAAACGACGCATACCTAGTTTAGTAATCTTCTTTTAATAGTCTATACATTTTCGACTACTGGATACTTTGGCAATAATCGGATAAATATCGGATACAGTTACGGTAACAATAACTAGAACTAAACATTTTTTCTCACGATGGATCGATAATCGAAAAGGACAGCGTGAGCGATGCAGGAATGTCAGGGTCGCGAGTTACCGAAGCATACAAGGACAGGGCGGTGGATGACAGACGTCGGGTTGAATTTAGAATAGTGGTCTTATATCGTAAGGAGTCGGACAGATTGAGAACACGTTCGGGTTGGGCGGCATCACGGTAGGTTAATGGGTTTGTTTTCTAGAAAAATAAGACAGATATTGATAATATATGAGCTGAGCTGAGCTGAGCTTTTGAAAGGCCAAAGTTATTGTTGGCCGATAGATACACTTTTGCAGAGCTTGTGATTAGCGTTTTCGTAGAATGAACTATATATATCATACAAAAATGTAAATTGTTTATTTCGATTTAAGGAAGTTTGTTTTCTTCTAAGACCGGTTCAGACATTAGCCTATGGGACAACCTGGAGAACATAAACGCCGACGGCTTGAGTAGCATCCATAGAACGGCTGCATAACTGCTGCTTTACTTGCCGATGGAATAGATTTTGGTTAACGATTAAGGCATTATCGTATGGCGGGAATTTTCAATTGAACGTCCGTCAGTGTTAGCCACAACATGGATACTGAAAGAACGCGATTCGAAGGCTGATTAAATTGTTGCCAACCTGTTAAGGTAACAATGCCTAGACTACTCGTCGTAGTGAGGTGAGGAGCTCAAGCAAAATAGCTTTACTCTCATATCTTATTTTTCATATGGCTTCGGTACAACGAAAGCGATGTTTTAATCTTATATGTTAGAGTTCAAGGTGCACTTTCAGCCATTTCGTCCTACAAAGGCCGTCGTCGGTCGCAGTATGATTTCTTCTAACCTCCTCTTCTTGGAGAGTTACATCATACAATATATATATATATATGTATATATTAATATGTTCAGAATTTCTGCACCAATAAATTCGGCTTAGCTTATAAATACACGCACGAAAAATATAGCGTAACAGCTAAACTTGGAACATTTCTGAAGACGTAAATATAATCTAATGCTATGATGGACCAGATAGACTAGTGCCATAAGCACCATAGGTTCAAAAGAAACAATTCACACGTGCACAAATTTTCGTTAGGTCAGACTTTTATAATGTTTACGGAGTATTATCTTTGAATGTCAGCTCAGAAGTGGTCTTAGACTGGAAAGCAGCGCATTGTAGCGTACAGAGGCTTTTCACCTCCTTTAACCGGTAGCTGCGACCGGGAACTTTCCTTCGCTCCTTCTCCTACTGACGCAGTTCCAAATGTCCCCTATCACGCCCGCTATTCGAGGTCTTTAATTCACTCTTCGTCTCCGTTTTTTTTCTGGAAACCGAAAAATAGATAGCAAAAATAGCATTCATATGTTTCTACAGCTCGAATCATCATATACGTATAATGCCCCTTACTCTAGTCGACGCCAACGGAAGTAAACATATATATATATACGTGACCGATTTCTAGTATATATATATGCTAGAAATCGGTCACGTAATAAACATACTGAATCGCAGCTGTGATATATAAACGCAGTAAACGCCAAAGCCTCATCAATTTAAAGTAGTTTCCGGTAATAGATCATGCTTTTCGGAATTTCTCTGCCGACTCTCCCCTGCGGCAAAGGCTATGCTTTACTTTATAGCTCGATTCGTTATACAGCGAAAAAAAGAAAATTCCTAGGGTAAGTTGAAAATAAAAAAGTCGGGTTCGCCGTCATGCTAACAAGGACGAATGGCCAATGCTTACGACGCACTCTCGATGTTTCAGTCAACAGCTCCTATATGGAAAGTGGAGTCGGAGTCAACAAGAGATTGCTGTTGAAAAGTTTAGTATTTATGCCGTCCACTTAAGAACATTGTCATATTTAAGATTGTGATCTAGTGGAATAAAAAGGATTACAGAAATTAAGCTAAAATAAATATCATCTGAAGGTTATAGAGTTGAATCCCTAGATAAACCATTAAAAAAGTTCATACTCGTTGAGGTTTGATATAGCTTTTACTATATATATATATATATATTTAGGTGCAGCTAACTCCAAGTCGTGATCCTGGCTATTAGGCCTTTATCTGTGGCTAATTACGGTTATCTACTACTAAATGCACTCGTTCTCAACAAGTTGATTGATTTGAATTGTCATTGATCATCCGAATTAGCTTTCATTCTATGCAGCTGAAAAAACGTGACGCAGCACAACAAAAAAAATATTTTGTAGAATTATTTTTATTCATTCAGAATTGCCTGTCCGTTTTATTTCTACAAATTCTTCTTTTTTCATGCTTAAATACCTTTCCCAAAAAAAAATATCGCATGGACGTTTGGTTCCCTACTACCGCCAAAGGCACTGCTGCCGCTGTTTCTCTAATGGTCAACAAAGCAGGAACAGTGGCCGGCAAGTTTTGCCTGTTACCTCCGTCGTGCTTGCCATCCAGCGGGACACACGCTTCGAAGCTCCGGAAAGGGGACGCTCATCGATCTTTGCTCGGCCTACTGTCTTTACCCGGGTCGCCGTTCATGTTTCCGGCCAAACTCCCTGCTTTGTAATGCACACTCATTAGCAAAGGCACATGTCCCTGCTCCTGTTTCGATAAAACGACAGGAAAAAGGAAGCGCTATCGCATCGAAAGAACGTAGGCAGGGTGAGACTGTTTTTTTCTATGCTTGAATTCCGACGCTTTTCGATACCCCCTGACGCCTCACACATCCGTTTTGAAGATCACGTATCTCAGAATATCTAGCAATGTAGTTAAATCTAGCCGAGCTAATTTCCTCGAAAGCGTTGTCTCATTTGTGCTCATTGAGGCACACGCAGATCCCAGCTCCTCCTTTTCCGGTTGACCAAGAGCTCGAAGCCTCGAAACTAAAACGGAAATAGGGGCGAACACGCAAGGCAACAGCGGAAACAGCCGTTTACGTGATACTAGCTCAGCTTTCTTCTGCTTACACTGTTTTTGTATGAACCGATAGGGGTACTCCAGCGATGTCCTTCTAGAAGCCTTCAAGCAGATACTTCGTTATTTTGACGACCTTGTACTTGTTACTGTTGTGTTTTCGTTATTGCGGGGTAAAGTAGTGCGGAACTGACTTTATTCTACGAAGGGATCGTATGTAATTAGCTTTTTTTTTTCACAGTTGCCTCTATGCTCACTGGTGTTTTTGCTCTATAATTCTGCGCCAGATTACATGCGTTACCATCAGTTACATAAGGACATTATAAAACAACACGTTCTTTGTGTGCATTGTACAACAGCCATTTTGGAGCCACAGCACCATCAGGGCCAGTTGTTTAGATGTTTACGTTCAAGTGACAAATTTTCGCGCGCGTTCAAAGATATTCGGCAGGACGTTTAGTTTGCATCCTTGGATTTGAAAGCTTTGACTTCACTTTGTTCTATACCTATTGTTAATCTTGACACATAGGCACGCCCGATTCATTTGAAGGTCCTGTTTTGAACGTAAGTAGTCTTAAGCGTATGCGCCTGCTCATAAGTTTGCCCACATAGTTCTTGACGAGGGTATTCAACAGCTATGGAATCGTGTGGTCGACCGATATCGCAAACAAACAAGTTACTTCTTCAACATCGCTATTGCGTGAGATGAATGACACCGCCGTTTTGTCCATTGTATGAATAATAATAATGATAATTAATGATAGTTACAATAACGTTGCTTTACTTAAATCGAATGTGCCCTACCGATAAATTATCGGCGGAGGGGGGTCGAGACGCCGTTTCCTGTATTCTTTCAATCAGCGGCATCGCCGTTCGAATCACCGTGTCAGAAAATCTATATGGCCAATCCGAGATTGAATTTATCGGGCATGTTTGATTTTAATAAGTCAAGCCCTTTACCTACGCTAGCATTTACTTGCTTTTTCATACTGTTCGACTCGTTGTTATTTTATTGTGCAGCGAAGAAATTTTAATGTCCAGTTTAATCTCCAAATAGAAAGGTTCTAGGTTTAAAAGAAAAAGTGAATTTTCAATATCAGCTTTATCTCGCCTTCTACAGAAGTCAGAAGCTACCGGAACTGTCCTGGATACTCGTGCAATGTACAGCGAGAATTTTATAACTGACAGGGTCGCTACAAGGGTCTTGCCAAGTTTCATCAGGGAAGTGTAGGCCTGGAAAGTACTCACCAGCTCGGCTGGCCATCCGAGGGTGATGAGGTTCCCAACTGAGTTTTTTTTTTTTCATTAACCGAAAAGGCAAGCCCCACTATTGTCAGGCATCACTGGGGAATGTTTGAGAAAAAGAAAACAACTAACAAGTATCGGTATATAGCCAGCCTATTTTCGTGGAGTGAATGAGGCTATTCAAAACATGAAACTCGATGAGCAAGGCAAAGTTATACTTCTTGAAAGGATTACTGCTCTGATTACTGATTACAATTGGAAAGGATTGGAAGCTCGTTACAGATGGTCAGGGCCGTGGAAGCCCATTTGCAGACTTTTTTTTTTGCCCCCAACATATTCTCAAGACATTTTTCTCGAAACTTTTGTGAGCTAAAAAGGAATCGATACTAGTTCTGTTCTAGTCTAACAGTTCTGTCACCGTTTGTTATTTATTAAACGGCTAAGAGCGAGACTAGCTTCGGTTACCCAAAAACCAGCAAGTGCTATTATAGTACCTCAAGTCGTAAGGCACAGCCTTAAAGAGCCTTGTTCACACCGGATAATGGTGTGAACGGGCGACATGGACTTGAATTGTCACATTTTTGATTGATCAGCAGCGTATTTTGGCTGCAGGCACAGTTCTTGGCGTAACCTAACGAAGAGCCACGATGCTGGGTTTTTTGCAATTGTCTGGACGTATGCTGTCCTAGTACCAAGTATCGCTAAACTAAGAGTCCTGAAAGAAGCTGGAGGAATTCTCGCTTAGCGCGTTCGAAAGAGCGAACTGTCGAGACCTTTGATTCCTGAAGTCATACGCCTAGAGAGCATAGATTGTCGCATCTGCATAAAAACCAGCTAGCTAAAAAGGAAAAAACGAATGGAACTCGTGTGAAATGCGAACAGTTTAAGGACTGTCAGAAATTGGTCACATTGAGAAATGTACAAAACGCTTCGACATCGTAGAACAGAAACGGTGATTAAGCAACATGGGTAAAATAAAAAAAAAAAAACTCGAAAAGAAACTAGGTCATAATAGCAGAGTGGAATACTCTTAGAATATCCAATAACATGGAAGAAGGAGACTTCCTAGATAACTTTGTTTCAAATATGGCATATTGGCTGCAGAATGTAAGCACTGAATGGTGACATGAAGGAAGCCCGTTATATACCTGCGCACAGATAATTGTATTACTATACATGCATTTCATAGGTGAAGTTTGTATAGAACCGTAGGTATACTACAACAGCGTATAGAAGATGGTCCATTGTTCTTTTTTCCGTAGGCGATTTCTGTTTGTACGGAGAGCGGGTCTAAAAACTCCCCAGTCAAGCTAAGCGACCCTTTGGGCGTTACGCGTACCAAATGTATGTTTGATAATCAACTGAACTGGCCAAATCCGAAGTGTTTTCTATCGTCAAACGAAAACAACCGAAAAAATAAGATCGTGAGTAGTTAGCAGGGAAAGTCATTACGTAACGTATTTGCTTGCCTGTTAAATTTTACAGGAACTTAGTTAATCTATCATTGTCGTATTAGCTCATCTCTATCTATGCGAGTTACCGATACAACTGTAACTAGGTGTTTTTCCTTATTAGAATGAACTACTTATGATAACGCGTTTATTCGTGGCGGTCTTGAGACCACAATCGCAAATTTTCGTCTGATCGAAAGCTCAAATCAAGACGATTTTAAAAATAGTTTGCTCCCTCTATTTATTGTATTGTCGTTTTTAAAAAATAAATAATAACTCGCAATTTTTTAGTCAGAAGCATATTTTATCAAAACAATTATATACACCGACAATGTAGCTTTGAGGAACACGCACGTAACACCACCAGCCCTTCAAGCTTCTACGGCAATATTATATTGGAACATATATGATGCTTCCAGGAACAATTTTGAGGTACGCTTATCCCTTTTCGACCCCCAAATGTACGATCGTATTTTTTCAGGCGGTCTATAGATGATTCAGTTTAGATATTATAGCATCGATATGGCTATAAACTACGCACTTCTATCATATCCGCAGCTAGACTTCACGGCGATTTTTATTTAATTTTAACGTACGTTTTTTCAATACGATGAATTTGTTTCGAAATGTTAAATAGTCACAATTGATATGTGGATATATTTTTGGAAGTTTTTTCATATTATTGGATTGTTTTTTGCAGTCGAATAACTCCGAGTATATGCAACAGGCGCGTTCATCTGCGTGGCTAGCGCACGACAAGACTAGAATGATCTATGTACCTCACTTACCACGCGCAACCGAAGTACAATCAAAATGGTCGCCTTGTGTCGTAAGCTCGTCAGTTATTTAGATCTATGTGCAGGCGGCAAGACAGCGTGAACGTTCGGTGACCAAAGGAATCGGACGTTCAATGCTACTGCCGTTAGCCATTGCCACACGGCTTGTGGTTGACTGTAAACTTACCGTCTTCTTAACGGTGAAGCCATTTTTACTCTCTACTCTCGCCGCCATTTATCATCCGTTTACGTTATTTGCAATACGAACTCCGACGGCAAAATGTACGCCTAGCCGCGTTCGTAATGACGCATGCTCCTTAGCAATACCGAACACCGAATAATTTTGTTCCATGTTGTTCATGCCTCGGTTCGATGTTATACCAATGAACCAGACTGCCTAAAATCAAATGGCCAGCATGAAAGTAAGTCCGATACCACTGTCATGTACATGGCATATCTGGATAGGCCAAAGGCCGCGGTCCTTGAACAGTTTCACGATGCCTAGACATACGTGATCAAACTACACTCTGAACCATTTTTACTTTTCATTCTATTTTGAACTTATTTCACAGAGAAAGTACAAACATAAAGAGCTAGCGATTTTGGCCAGCTGAAAAGTCGAAAACTGCCACAGACATCAGATCACATTGGAACTTCAAAAGCCAACCACTCTTGCTTTTCGGATTCCAGTCAACTTTCCCTTTATGTAAATCGCCACCGATGTACGAGGCAAGCCCTGCAGCAGTTTCGCTGGTGCCCTCGCACCATGACTTCTTAAGAGGGAGATGCTGCAGTGAGCCGGCTTGGATTGGGGACGCCGTCGCTGATTGAGGCCGAAATCTACAGCGGACCTCTAGTTAGGACTGCAGAGATAGGAGACTAAGAAAGTAGAGAGGAGAGAAGAGCAAGAAGGAACTTGGACGGACACAACGCTGGGGCCCTTGGCCGCCATCAGGGCATGCGTGACTCGTAACCGTACTGAGAAAACTCTGCAGGCAAACCTATTACATGTAAAAAAAATACGCATCTCTCTCACGCTCGCTCTCTCTCTCCCTAAGTGATGGGTCAATGATGAGACAGCAGATCAATACAGCGTTACTGGTACAGGTGAAGAGAACAGTTAGGTGGTCCCCGGCCGTAGCCGATTTTGGGATGGGTATCGAGGCAGACCCTCCAGAAGGCTACTGTAGGAAGTTGTCACAGGAAGAATAATTTGAAGCGGGTCTCACCTATTAGAGATCTATAAAGTGACTTCCGTAATAAATACTTCGCGATAAACGAAACGTCAAAGGTACTGCGACAAAGCGGTTGAACAATTATTCAGCCTGGTTGCGTTTGACTAATCCGACTTAGTAGCGTTCTGTATTGTAGCAGTGATGTTGGTTGCAGATGTTGAAGGCCCTACGTACCTTTTTGCTTGTTCTAGTTTTGCCCCCTGGTGGAAAACAAGGGGATTCCCCCGAAGTTGGGGGCAAATGGAGCACTGGGAATGCGGTGTAGGAGTATCGGGCTTTGGAGCAAGGCCTCACACCCTGTTCAGGCTTAAACAGGCACCGGAGACTGTTATGGGAAGGGTAGTGGAGAGGGTAGCATCCTGCAGTTAGGCCCCGAGCGTGGTCCCTTCACGCAGCGACTTGTTGAGTCGGTCCGCGCCGCTGTGCTAACCACCGGCTCACACAAGATTTCGGTATTAGGAGGCCGCTTACTAGCAACCGCAGTGGGGCGTAGCGTGCTGCTGCCGTTGAAATCTTTGCTCTGCGGTTCAATAAACAGTGAGATCTTTATATCTCTTTGATGTATGCGATCGCGTACGCATACGAACCGCCTGGCGTACTGCGCCAAATCGAAATCTAGTGCTTACGACGCTTGAGCGGCAGAGGCAAAACTCAAGACTCTGACTCCTTGAGCAATCCAGAGCTCGTTGTTTGTTCGGAGTGCTTCAAGCAGAGGAGTTCGATCTCACACAGCTCTGTGCCATGATTTAATATAGCTAAATCAGAGACACCCATTAAACTATATGGTCGCTATAGGAACCAAATGATTTTGTGTTGTTATGGTGTTGTGACGATGGAAACGAGATCTAGAACGTTCTGCTGTCGTCCTTTGCTAGCGCATACCTATATACTGCAAATAATAGATAAAATCATATAATTACTAGTACACAGTGGCATTGAGTAGAAGTAGTTGCTTTAAAGATGAACGTATAATTACCTTCTGCAACGAGATCAGCTAGCGGTTAGGCTGTTAATGGCATGACGACCATTTTTGAGTGCTATACGCGTTAACCGTCAAGACGGATATGAAACTGATATAGACGTTTAAGTAAACACTCCAACAAGAACTACTTTTGGTTTTATTGTATATATATATATATATATATATATACATACAAGAAACTGTTCTAGCAGCAACTTAACCGTTGCTGCTAGAACAGTTCCTTAGGATCCTCTCAATGCAACTCAACTAAATTTGTATATACCAAAAGACTGCCAAAGGATAACAAAGGACTCCCCGAGGATATCACAGGACTGACAGCCCAATACACTGACATCACTTGGTAAATGAGACATTTGTCTGTGGATGTGTCGACGTCATGGTGACCGTGTTGTTTTCGTGTAATCTAGTTTTTATTAGTTATTTAGTGGTTTTGGCTCTCGCTAGTAGGATATGTGTCGCTCGAAAATTCGCCGCGCAATCTGGTCGTACGTAGGTGCATACGAGAGCGTACGGCCTGCAATGTAAATGCTTCTATTATTATTCACGACCTCACTGGTGGGGACGCCAACAGCCGCTTTTGGATACGGTACTTTTGAGGATACACTGGCCACGCAAACTCGACAGCGTGAAAAACTGCGCAAAAAGGGAGAAAGTGGAAGAAAAGAAGCAAAGAACTTGCAAAGTGTACATAGACCTGCAGTGTAATGGAAGTTTATTAGGTCATTGTTTTGATCCATAAGTTGTACTCGAAACAAGGAAGATAAGTACGGGGTGCGAACAACAGAAACGACCGCAATTTTGTTGTTTTCAAGTCTTCGTTCGAATTTTGTGACGCAATCATTGCCCGTAGAAGTATACTTCGCCGAGGCAGAATGGCTATTAGTGGAGATGGTGAACCGGGCGAGACGTCGAGCAATACCGTCGGACACGAGGTCCACGTAGGTAACCATCAGCATAAGCCTTCGACAGATAAAGTTAATCAAAACAACGAAAATTTGAAGCAAGAAAACCGAAAGCAGAAAAATCAGAACCAAAATCAAAACCGCCAGACGAAAACTGTCTCCATAATACCAGCATCGGTAACTTGCGAACGCAACTTAATGAACAGGGCCACTGATAACCACAAAGCAGATAGCGATTTCGGCAACGGTGGTCGGAGAACTGCTACCGTTACGTCCACCGCATTAGCTTGTCGACAACTATCGATGACGCTCAGGGACGAGGAGCTAAACGAGATTCGACCAGTTGATGATGATCCGCCGAAGGGTGGAAAGAACTCGTGTTACAAATCATCATCAGGCGCCACCGATGCATCGAGCTTGACTTGCAGTGGAGGTAGCGACCTGGCTTCGTCTTCATCATCGGCGACTTTAACAAAACGACCAATAAAAGGTTCGATAACAAGTGACGGCAAACCAAATGACAACGATGGCAACATGGGGGGTTTTAATGAGGACGATATTCGACACATTGATTCGGCTATCGAGGGCAGCCCCGTTGAGGGTCAATGTCCACTATTAAGCAATGGTGACCTCCGAGATAGCTCGTCTACGATTCACTACCATCAGCGCCAGCAGGAACAACCCCAATGTCATCATGAACATCATCACGAGGATCAGCCAACAGGACTCGCTCTACAGGGAGATCAACCCGAAGAAGAGGTTCGCTGCGAATGCAACAACATGCCATCCACGTGAGTGATTTGCGGAATGGGTCATAAAAGCGTGATACGCTAATATAGGATGTCCCAAAAATGTATACGCTGTTATTTGATTGCACCATTTTTTTGGGCAATGTAATAATAGGCGGCAACTATTTGAACTTATCGCAAGACCCTTCTTTTGCCACACGTTTCAGCGGACTTTGATGAATATGACGAATCTTATTTCTACTAGTACGAGCACCTGCACCTAGTCATCGTGATGTATATATTAGCTTATAATCATTCAAATTGTGTTCGTACATCTTTTTTTTTTAAACGCCTTGTAATGACGAGGAGGAACAACTATAAAACGCTACATTTTAAGGAAAATTAACTAATTAGTTAATTATGAAAAGAAAAAGAAGCAAAGCAAATGATAGAGGATTACCATAAACAAAATATGGCATAGTGATTCGTCGTTACCAGTGACGCAGTACCTTTGATCCATTAGATCACATATGAAAAATGGCTGTTGTGCTTTTAGCTTATTGTTCTTTTTTTCAAATTTTTAGAAGCGTTATCCATAGATGGAACATTGTTTGCTTGTCCTACCAACCCATTATCATCGATTTGTTGAGCCCAATATGTATAGAGATATGTGGGCTGAAAAGGAAAGAACCTTCGATCCTTCGTATTTGCTTTTCGTCCAGGTCGAAACGCTTTCGGAACAACTCGTGACGTGTAAAACTTTACCTCTGTAAAGGCTAATTCAGCTCAAAGGTGACTTTCCAAGTTCAAAAGTGACATTTCCGCTACCTCAATAATGCGTTTCACTTGATATCCGAATTTACCAAGGATAGGCTTAAGCGATTTTTAGATAAAGGTAAACATCAGGTTAGCCTAAGGGGCTCCTCCTGAAGAAGAAATAGCTGAGGAAAGCTATAAACAAGGGCAAACATTACACATGCACCGATAGAATGCATATTATAGTATGTGTGATTGATGAGGTTATTGCACGCAACTGAACTTGACCGAAAAAACGTTTTAAGACATTTAAACTAAGAGATATGCTGCGGTGACAAAATGTGCTTTCGTACGGCAGGAAACGTATAATTGACTTCATGTATGAAGCATGCCCCAACGAGTTTGCCCTTGTCTTGTGACCCAGATCACGTTAAATTATACAGCTAGAAATATATAAAAAGATTTGACATATTCAAAGTACAATGAACGTTGTACGTATAGTTACTATACAAAAAGAACTTTAGTGCACTTTTTTATTCAACTTGATTCGTAAAAGTTACCTTCAAAATAGCGCAGCAACATTCGGAATGACTGTTCAAAAATATGTGACATCTTCATGTAATTTAATTACGCGTTTAGCTTAAAGCTGTTGAACGAAAATGGGTAAACCAAAAATAATAAATGTATTCGATAGCTAAATGGTTGTAACCGTAACTGGTTGATTAATCCGGTCTAGAACCGCTTTTAGAAGTAATTTTTATACTTCAACATAATTCATTGTTCGTACGCGGTGAGTGAAATGCAACCCTGCTCGCGAAACGATGTCAAGGGGCGAATCGCCAATAGATAGAAATAACTTCTAGGGGCATAAGTTTGCCAGATCGCATATTCCTCTGTTAGAAATCGGTTAACGCCATTCGTAACCACCGTACAGGGCGGAGTGGTCGCGTTTCGTTTAGACATAGATCTCACATCTCAGCTACGTGAGGATTTGATACGTAAAATCCGTTGTAGTTTCCGTTTGAAACAAATTTACGGAGCATTAGTACAGCTAAACATAAGTAGATGTGCAGTTCTAATAGATCCTCGACATTCAAATGCGTATGACACTGAAAACCTCATTAGAAGAAGTACTTCATTTAGAAAGCGTACATTACTTAGCTCTTGCCTAACACAGACAATTTTAATTGAAACAGTGTTTTTGTTCTATACTATGATCAGGTATTTACTGAATCTGTGCCCAAACCTACGGACAACGTACAGCATAGCAAGATAGAATGGACGGTGTTGTGAAATCGATATCCAAACAGCCTCGCCCTCTAACGTACTTTGAGCTTCTAACGGATGTCGTTATTTACGCAGGAATGGTGTGTATGCCCCTGGAAGGGAAAATACGAGAACATTTCTCTTATCATGTTGGGTGTGTCATTTCTTTCTTCTTATTAGAGTATGACTGTTTTGTCTATCTGATCCTGTGCCCGGATGGCTGTCGATCGTCTTTCGTTAGTATGTCTCGACCTGTTTGATGGATAACGCATGCCAGAATCTCTTGTGCGACTCGGTTCGTGCAGGCTGCTAGCGACATGGTTCACTTTCGATAGCATTGAAGTGGTCTTCCTCTGACCTTTTAATCTTAACATCGTATCTGCAATCGTTCCTGTACGTTTTAATCGTTTTTTAGGAAGATAACCGTTAGTGCTTCATTAATTACGGCCATCGGTCTGAAGACTCAATTTCTGTTTAAAACTGGCTAACTATAGTTGAAAAAGATAGCGATAGAGGGCGCCAGCATAGCCTTAATGAACCGCTGAACGAACGACTCTATGTTTCATAAAAATCGACCTAAGATCGACTTCGAATTATCATACCACGAGGTCTTCCTCCCGACTCCTAGATCTATTCGACTTATATGTGATACAGTGCAAAGCAATTTGTTGATAAATTTTAAACCTTATCGCGTGTATCTTAAAAGAACATTACGAAATTTTTTCAAAAATAATATTATAATAATATTATTAAATAAAATTAGATGTACATAATAAGTACAATGCCACCACTTACTAACAAATAGGTCATTTGATTTATGTTCGTCCTTATTAACCTAAATGCAAACAATCCTTTGGGGCCGAGTATCGTCTAGTTTTACCTTGAACTAGTCAGCAAAATTGAAACAAACGAATTCAAAGCGCGCCTTCTCTTCTACGCGGTCTTATTTTGAAAGAAAAAAGGTGGCAATTGACCGGGCAATCACCAGCTGCTGCTGCTGCGGTTGTTGCTGGTAGACAACGTAATCTCGATAAATAAAATGTGGTGGAGGCAACATATCGACGCAGATAACCAAAAAGAAAACAGCTGTGTCGGATTTAAAAGGGCCTCTGCCTAGCTTGCGAGATGGCGGGCAAACTGTCTGGAAGATCGCAGATTACTATAGTCTGGCACGCCTCAGCTGTTCTATTTGTCCAAAAAGCCTTATCGCTCAAGTGGAGGAGGACGCTGTGGAACAGTCGAGATGGTTTTTTAAAAATCAATTTTGAGGCTTTTGTGCGGTCATTAAGTGATGAAACCATTTGTGCAAACGGTCTATTGAATACACCACAAAACTATAATTACTATAGCAGAACCTCTATAGAGGCCGTATTGTTCGTATTCGCTTCTACGTACATCTTGTAAAACGAGTATATATCAACAAGAAGTAAAAAGACAAAATAAAAACTAAAAAATCGAATAGTATTTTTTTTTACTAATCAAGGAGCAACACCATCAATTGAGAAGACACGGTTAATTCTATTGCAGTGTCTTCTGTCCATATGATTCGCAATGTGGAACTCTTCTTCTCGCCGCCATGAATATTGGCCATGGCGAAATGGTTGGTATCGGATTTTTCTCTATCCTAGTACCGGCCGTATCGTTTTTGACATTGCTATTGAAAACGGGTTCTTCAAACAATGACTTGAGATATTGGCTTATCGATCGAGTGCCACGTTCAGTCTCGCTTTCGGCTTCACTCAACGTTAGAAAGACAATTCAGTCTTCCTGTCGAAATAAGTCTATGGTTTTGCTAAAATCTCGACCTCTCTCTCATAACAACAACAGCAAAAGCAAACATCTCAACGCAACTTTCACTTACCACTCGTAGAAGATTAATTTTTTTCTTCTAGAAATTTACATTGCCGCCGCTCCCTGAATCTTCCGTGTTAGTTAATGCTAGCTATTTGTCCAATACGAGCCGTGGTGAAGGGTAAAGCCGATGAGAACAATGGCTTGGAACACAAAATGATACGGATTAATAGTGGTACAGCAGTTCGGACTGCAATCATAAGTAATAGAGGATCCCTCCCCATCGCAGGCTGAATTGTTGTCTAAACTCAGAGATTGCTACCAGAAACCACCCGACGGACAAACTGTCCGTTAACTAATTTAACGGGTCCTACTTATAGACATTGCAATGGCCATGTATTTGAGTCTTAAATAAAATTCTACTATGAGATGGCCACAGGAACTGGCTTTGGAGGAGGCTTCAAAAAAAAAATGACAAAAATACTTCAAGCAAAGCCTACACATAGAACAACTTATACAAAAGACTTCTACAGCTGCCAGAAAACTTTTGGTGTCTTTATATTTGAAAGTACCAATGATGCTTAACTTCTAAGTTTTTATAGAGCTACGAAGTCGAGTAGAAAAAATTGATTTTGGCATTGGTTTTTCAACGATACTAAGCTTTCGCGTCGCGAACATACCTATGCTTGTGAGTTTTACTTTGTACAATATTATAAATATTGTAATAAACACAAATAAGGCAGCAAGTCAATATTCCTTATAATTTTGATTGTAAAAAACTCAAAAGGTTAGCCCATTTACTTTGTTGATGCCAAGAGACGATCTATGCGTGGGGGTATATGTTTTAATGAAATGCCAAGCTTATATTTGTGTATATGTGGAAGGCAGATTGTCTGAATGAAATTTCACCGGTGTGGGAATGGAGCTACCTGCAGTTCAGGGGCAGTGTCCTCAACTGGCATTTCGTCTGTCCGTAACGAAAATTCAAAGAGGGCTTTTCATTTCGTGATATAATATAGTTTACTTAAGTGCAATTACAATTGATATTTGCCGTTAACATTTGGTTCTCGTACGTCAGTTAAGCATTACGTTAAGTATTTTATTCTAACTTTAACTTGGATTCCTCCTCAATCCCCCGGGGACCTTTTGCGGGCTAATATACACTACTGTTGTCATTGATCCAGTCGGTCATTGCGATGAATTAAACATTGTGTAATAACTGATTTGTTTATACGGTAAGCCACCACTGC